TTTCCTGGGTACCCAATGTGTGCAAGGCAGATACAGACTCTCCAGAGGGGACACGCGAGAGTGAAAAGCCGGTGTCTGTCTCACACGGATGGCGTGATCAGACCCTGGCAACCTAATGCCCTCAAGCCTTCTGTGTGTCTGTCTCGGAGGAGTGCGCTTCGCGGACGCGCCCCAGTTATGGTGCCCCCTGGGCCCGCGCACAAGGCCGGTTAGTGCGGGGGTGGGGGAGGGGGAGGAGGGAGGAACCAGGGGGCATCCCGGCGCCCGTTCCCTCCGCAGTAAGCCTGCGGCGGAGGTTAGGGAACTGGACCGACTCACGGACTTGGACTCCAGGACTGCCGCGTGGGGGCGCTCGCGGGCAGAGCGGGCTGGCGGCAGGTCAGGGACGCACCGGCAGGCCCTCTACCGCTCCGCCGGAAAAAGCCGGCGGCGAACTTTCTAGAAGGCGGCAGCAGGGGTTTTGGGTGTGCTCCAATGAACTCAAACTGACCAGAACTTGGCTTCTCGAACCCAAAGCCGAGAGCCGGGCCCTTCACTGGGATGCTCTGCCCGCCGCGCCCGCGCCCCGTCCCACGCCGGGCGATGGGGCCAGGCATCCCCTGGCGGCCCGGAAGGGAGTGCGTCGCGGGGGGGCAGGGACTCCAGGTCTGGGCTGTGACCGCGGGCCGGGACGAGCGTCGCAGGAGGGCGGGCTGCGCCTTGGGCCTGGGTACGCGCCGCAAGTCCCGCTCGGCCCTGGCGCGCCTCCAGGCTGCCCCGGAGCCCTCGTTCTCGCTCTTTTCGTTTGAACAAGAGCCCCCGTGAGCCCGCGGCCTCCAAACCGTTTTTCCCGTGATGATCCTCCAGGCCGCCACATAAGTCGGAAGCAACAGGCCCGAAAGGCGGAGGGACAGCAGTGGCCACAGGGGGACACCGCTACTTTGGCCCTTGGGGGCCTGTGACCGTGCCAGCCACGTGCGACGCGGGCGACACGCCGTTTCGCGCCGTTTTGGAGGGCGGCCACCCCAGCCCAGTGCTCTGCAACCTGGCATCGCCCGAAACGGAGATCTCGTGCGCGTGGAATCCCGCGCCTTGACCTGCCCCAAACGTTGGGCACCACAGAAACCCGTGAGGTGTGCGGGTTTGCAAATACCCCGCTGCGTCCACCCGGCCGCAAAGAAACCAATGGGTACAAGGGGACAGGCGGAGGCAGTGGGGAGGCGCCGAGTCTCGGCGCACACCCGCCTGGCGCGGCTTGTCCGCTTTCAACGAAACGCTCCTCTGAGGCCCAAGCGCGAGGCCTGGCGGGAAGAAAGGGCTCCGGGACCGCGGCCGGTCCACCCCGGGCTCCGGGAGGGCAGACGACTCCCTTCCCCTACCCCCGGGACGCTCCAGAGCTCTGAACCCGGAGTGCGGAGCTATGGGGAGGGCCTGAGACGAACAGAGCAGCGCCTGGGCCAGAGTCTGTCTAGGGGATTTCTGCAGCCTTTTTAGACTGGAAAAATAAAGATTTTATTTAAAAAGCTTCTGGTCCTCTGGTTTGGCACCGAGCCCCTCCCCCTTCTCTGCTGGCGTTGGAAATAGCCCGCAAGGAACTCTTTCTACTTAGATCTCCCCTTCTTTCTGAAATAGCCCCAATCCAAAGTCAGGGAAGCCCTTGGGAGGCTGGTGCAGATGCTTTCCTCCTTTCCCCAAAAGTCCCTGGAGTGACGATGTGCCCGCCCTGAGCAGGGCAATGGTGCATCTGTGGGGGCCATTCAGCGTGCTCTGGGAAGCTTCGGTCCCAGTTCCAAACCCAAAGGCCCCAGACTATCTCTGACCAAGAGGCAGAGGCAAAGGCATTCTCTCCGTGTGAGCTCATTGAAGCACACCCATCCAAGGCAGCCCTGCTGCTGTCTTCCAGAAAGTCCGATCCCAGGGCTCCCAGCACATGCTGAAGGTGAAAGGAGACAATTCAATGAAGCCCAGATTTCCACTGGTCTACAAAAGTTTTTTCTCCCCAGCCATGGAGCTTCTATTTGTGCTTGATGAAACAGTAAGTGCAGGCCTCTCAAGCATGCCTTAAGGGAGGAAGGAGTATGGGATTCCGTAGATTGGGGTGGGGAAAGTCCTAGGTGCCTGGCACCCGCAGGCCTCTCCAGCAGCTGCTCTGGGCACTGGAACTAGGAGCTGAGATTGCCTTAGGATCAGGCTGGCAGTCCATTAAATCCTCACCTAGGCATCTCCCAAGTCCTCTGTCCTGTAGCAAAGATTGTCAGGGAAGGGGCTTCAGAGCAAAGAAACACTAGCTGAGCTTGTAACCTTTTTAGGTTAGCAGGCACTCGGCTGCTGCTGCTGCTGGCAAGAGGTTCTAGCCCAGACCTGCTAAAACCGGTTGGTTTCCTGCAAATATGGGGGGAGGGGAGAAGTAGGGCATATGGACACACACCCATACATTGGGCAAATGGGGTTACAGGTTTTCTGTGCTTGCTCTGTAATGACTTTTCATATGGCACACATTATATTATCCAAGGTGGCAGTTCCCACGTCTGTTCTCCTGGCAGGGCTGATTCTTAGGCTTAGCACCCAGGGGTCGCAAAGAGGGCAACTTGGAAGGGATGATGGTCTGCAGCTCCAGAAAATCTGCCTTAGCTGAACATGGGGAGGACCCAGTTCTGGTGGAAGTTTAATCTTCAAACTCCAGGGGTCCAGAGAGGGGCAAATTCACGGTGGAAGCTATGGCTAAGGTTTCAAAGATTACCTGCTTTTTCAAGGTTACTATTCTTAGACTCACCCCAGCCCAGAACCAGCAAGGGACCTGAAAGATCACTGAGGCCTCATCTAATCGTGGAAGAGAATAAGGTGGAGCAGACCACAAACCGGCCCAAAGTTTAACACCAGGAAGTGACTGCCTAGTCCCATTCGCCTGTACCAGCGAGGTGCTCCCTCACCGCCCTGGCCTGACGTTGCCAGGATGTAAAATGGACATGGGTAGAGCTGGGACCAACTACCAGTCATTAACCATGTGGCTAATGTAGAGGTCTAGAGAATCATAGGTTGCCCCTTCTTGAGGGTCTGCAAGGTGGGCTCTGAAACTCAGTGTATCCAAGGGTAAGTAAATTCTTATGTGTCCCAGAGTCCTCAAAAACCAAGTCTGTAGTGAACCCTGTTTAGTAGCACACAGGACTCTGAATAGAGGGGCCTGGATATAGCAGGGCTCCTCTCAGCCCACAGACGCACACTCCTGGATGCCACCTGGATTTCTGCAGGGAGCTGTCCCTGGCACTGGCTGAGCACATACTTTGATAGCCCTGTGGTCTCAACACACCAGGGCAGGCCTCCAGTGGCAAAAGTCTTAGGGACAGTCCCAGGGTTCCATTATTTCATGCATGCAAACACTCCTCCACCCAAAGACTTCTAGAATGCAAGAGCAGGGAGAAAACTTGGGGGGGGGGCACTTGGAGGAATAGGAGCCTTGTTCATAGACAAGTAAAGTCGTAACTCGAACCCATGGCTCTAGATTCCCATTCCAGTGCTCCTAGCACACACTTCCAAGGAAGCTTAAAGCAAGGGTGGGAATGAAGAAATGTTGCCTGTACACAGGTTCCAATCTTAAGCTGAGGACAGAGCCCGGGCTTTGTGTTGGCTTGGGTCCTGGCACCAGGAGCCAGATGGCTCAGGCCTGCAACAACTCATAGCCAAGAGGGGAAACGAAGTGGAAAGGACCAGTCGGGGAAGGAACTCAGCCCTGGCTTTTCAAAACGTAGATAACATCAGCAGCCCTTCTCCCAGAGAACCAGTAACACGTGTTTCCACACCGTCCTGACAAAGAAGCAAAAAACAGGACCCCCTTTTTAAGCCCCTAATTCCTGAGCTCAGCGACGGGGTTCCCAAGCTGGAAGTGGTGGGAGCCCATTCCAAGTTGAGGCAGGGGTGGGGGTGGGGGGGTTCTTGCCTCCACTCTGTCCTCCGGAACTAGCCACAGGGCAAGCACCACCGTCCTAGTCTCTCCAGTCCCTCGCCTCCCCGTGGGCAGACTGTGGGCGCTGCTGACCAGAGTTAACTTCCGTAAAAGCCACACGGAAGTGCTGAGCGCTTCTCGGCTGCGCGACCCGTGGGACCCGTGGGGTTAAGTCTGAGTCCCCGCCCTGCAAGGACAGAGAGCGCCGAGCCGGGGCGGTATCGGCTTCGGGGCAGCCGGCCGGGTTAGGAGAGGGAAGAAAGGCGGGATCCTCCAAGAAGTAGATTCTCAGGCGTCCGCCTTGCGGTCACTGCCAAATCTTCCCCACTTCTCTCCCTACTCCCTACTCCCTCCTCCTTTCCCTCGAGGACCGCTCCGGTCCGGAGTTCCTAGGATGGGGGTGGGGCGCGGTCAGCAGGAAAAGCCAAATCTTTGAGGGGCGTCCGAACAAGTCCAAAGTTTCCCATCCCACTGGCCGTCTTCTGGGCAGAATCTACCCCGGCAAACAGTGGCCCCAGGAGGGGCGTGGTGACCCGGAGTGGGGCGGAGGCATCCCGCGGAGCCTGCTAAAGGCTGCCCAAAGTTTCTTCCCCCTCGAGTCTTCCTCCACCCGTCTCTTCCCTTCCTCCCGGCACCCCCTTAAACAGTCCTCCGCTTCCCCTTCTCCCCTCTCCTACACCCCCCCGCTCCGTCCTCCCCTTTTCTTCTCAGCGCGTCTCCACTCCGCCCCCCTCCCGTGTCCGTCTCCTCCCTTGCTCTTTGGGCGTCCGCTCCGTCAATCACCGCCGCCGCGGGCCCCTGCCCTGCCTTCTCCGCCTCCCAAGTTCTAGGAGCGCCTCCGGCTCCTGTCTCGGGCCGCCCTCCGCTTCGCGCGGAGCCCGGCGATCTGTCAGCGGAGCCAGCCGGGGGGAGCCGCCCGGCCCGCCGGGGCTCGGGTTACCAGTGACTGACAGCGTCTCCATGGCGAATAATTTGACTCCGACTATTGTCTGGCGCGGGCAGGGCCCGGGTCAGATAACCAGACCAATCAGGGCTCGGGCCGCCGCGCCTCATGCCCGCTTAGAATAATATTATTAAAAAAGCAGCGAGCGAGCTGGACGGGAGGGAGACCGAGTGAGAAGCGAGCGAGGGAGCGGCAGGCGGGTGGACTCAGAGCATGCCGAGCGGCGCCCCGGGCGGCCCCCGGGCTTGGACGAGGGCGCAGGCGAAGCGTGCAGGCGACCGGAGCGCAGAGCTGCGCGGGAGCCGTGGCCGGCGCAGGGACCTACTGCAGTGACTCGGAGTTCGCCGAGAGCCAGCGCCGGGCCAGGGAGCCCGCCCCGCCCGCCTCTCGGCCCGGACCGCCCGGCGGGGAGGCGCCCATGCCGGACCGCGCAGCGCGGTGAGGGCGCGCGCGGGCGGGCGGGGGCGCAACCGGCACCATGTCCATGCTGCCTACCTTCGGCTTCACGCAGGAGCAAGTGGCGTGCGTGTGCGAGGTGCTGCAACAGGGCGGCAACATCGAGCGGCTGGGCCGCTTTCTGTGGTCGCTGCCCGCCTGCGAGCACCTCCACAAGAATGAAAGTGTGCTCAAGGCCAAGGCGGTGGTGGCCTTCCACCGCGGCAACTTCCGCGAGCTCTACAAGATTCTGGAGAGCCACCAGTTCTCGCCGCACAACCACGCAAAGCTGCAGCAACTGTGGCTCAAAGCGCACTACATCGAGGCAGAGAAGCTGCGCGGCCGACCCCTGGGTGCCGTGGGCAAGTACCGCGTGCGCCGCAAGTTTCCACTGCCGCGCTCCATCTGGGACGGCGAGGAGACCAGCTACTGTTTCAAGGAAAAGAGTCGCAGTGTGCTGCGCGAGTGGTACGCACACAACCCCTACCCCTCACCCCGTGAGAAGCGAGAGCTGGCTGAGGCCACAGGTCTCACCACTACACAGGTCAGCAACTGGTTCAAGAACCGGCGACAGCGTGACCGAGCAGCCGAGGCCAAGGAAAGGTACGAGTAAGTAGACCTCCGGCGCCAGCTCCCCGTGGGTTCCAAGGAGAGGGTCGCATGGCCTCGGCTTTACCCCCCAGGAGAAGCCTAAACTGGGCCCCTAGTCAAAGCCACCACCCAAGTGAATCCTGGTCTGACCCAGAGGGCGCTCGGGTCTTTTGGGAGACTCTGAGGGCAGGGATTTGTCTAAAGCGGGGAAAGCAGTTGCCAAAGTTCTTGATTAACGCCCTGGTCGCCTGTGGACAAAAAATGGAGAAGCAGTGAGCTTCCGGGCAAAGGCAAGACAGTGGTCCTAGATCGCCTGCAAGCGAGGCTCAGCAGGCAGAGCCTGACAGTCCTACGAAGGACTGAGTGGGTTTGGCCTAGGACTGTTGGGGTTGCGGGTTTCAGGCGGCCTGTGCGAATTCACTAGCAGTTCCCGAACTTGCCGTCGGCCTGACTCAGTTTTAGGCCAAAGTGTGATTAGGGGTCAGGACTGGGACTGGAACTTCCTTGGTATCACCTGAATGTGGAAGGGCCCGGGCAAGAATTTTCCTTGTTTGGATATAGGAATTGATAGAATCTGTTATCCCACGTAGAAAGGACCAAGAGGCAAAAAGCTTGGGAAGGAAGTGTCAGCTCTGGGAGGGAAGAAGAGAAACACATGCCCCTTTTTCTACCTTGTTGGACCCAGCAGCTCTTCCCGGGTCTGCCAGGCCTAAGAGCCCTCACTTCTCAAGTCCTACCCTAGTTAGTGGGTAGGTGGATAGGTCTGGGGTGAGCTGAGAGGAGCAGGAAGGCTGGGAGTTACTTGTCCTCAGGAAAACCAAAACTTCTTGAACTAGCCTAATGGTGACCTTACACCCTGGTCGCTGCCAGCCCTCTTGCCCATCAGAAACCCAAATCGGGATGGGGAAATGGGAGAAAAACTGATTGTGGAAGCAGAATCCAGACTGAGGGCAACAGCAAAATGAGAGATACCTGAGGTTGGTGGTATACGGTGTATGCAACCCAGAGTTTGCACGATTAGGGTTAGGTGCGGGTACTGAACAGTGGAACCAGATCTCCGGAGGGGGAGAGCTTCAGGTGGACCCTAGTCTCTGAAACCATGAGGTTAGAGTGAAGTCTCAGCTGCCAGCCCTGTGGAAGTTCCCTTCCAGGAAAACAGGAAGAAAAGGCCTTCGGAAGCCAGTGAAGAAAATCTACCCAAGACTTCAAATCTCCAAATCTGGCAGGGTTGTCAATCAAAGGAAGGGCAGGAGGTGGGTTCTCCCTGCTGGGGTCCCCTTCCACCCGGACTGGCATGCGTCCAGACTCCTGAAGAACTTGGTTCTCAGGCCAGGCCCCAGGTGAGGGCTGCAGAGTTCCTCCTTTGCTTGTGTGACTGGAAAGTCTAGGCCAGGATTAGGAGGCCCCTTCATTCTCCTTTCACCATTCTCCAAATCCCCGGTTTCCAGTCCCCTAGATAAAGTTTTTGCTTGCTTCCAGGGAGAGGGAGTCCTTCATCTGTGGGGCCTTGTCTCTAGGCCCAGCAAGGAGAGTCCTCACCAGGCCTGCCAGTTAGAAGATAGAGGGAAAGGACCATTAGGTCCAGGAACCTTCCCTGCAGTCAGGGATTTCCCTTAAGTAGAGAAAAGGAAAAGCAGATGAAGGCCTCTGAGATCCCCAACTTTAAGTGAGGCCCTGTGCCTCGTGTCTAGGGTGTCTCACTCTCCTAGCCCCACTTCTACCCAGCCAACCCTTGATAGAAGAGCTAAGAGTGATCAGAAAAGCCAGACATCTCTTCCTCGGTGTCCTGGCTGCCCACCCAGCTCCAGGGAGCCGCACTTCCCTACCCCTCTGCTCTGAGAAAGAAATGTTAGCAAGTCAGTGAGGGGGGTGGGGAGAAACATACAGAGAACAGGAAAGATTTTCATGAGATTGAGAGCATGAGAGGTGGGGAGATAGAGACGATACAGGGAGAAGGATAAGAGAGAAATCCGTGGTGAGAGATTGAGAACTGGCAAAGAATGAGAGCCCCAGGCCAGGCCAAAAATAAGATGGTAGAAACTGAACACTCATGGCAGCGCCCGGTGGCTCCTGCTCCGAGGAGGACTACAGGCTCAGGCTCCAGGTGTCGCAACGCTGAGCGGCCTCTGTTTCCCCGCTGACCCGGCTACTTTGCTCCTGCACTTGCAGGGAGAACAGCGAGAACTCCAACTCCAACAGCCACAACCCGCTGGCGGCGTCGCTGAACGGCAGCGGCAAGTCGGTGCTAGGCAGCTCGGAGGACGAGAAGACGCCGTCGGGGACGCCAGACCACTCGTCGTCCAGTCCCGCGCTGCTGCTCAGCCCGCCACCGCCACCTGGGCTGCCGCCCCTGCACAGCTTGGGCCACCCTCCGGGCCCCAGCGCCGTGCCGGTGCCCGTGCCCGTGCCCGTGCCGGGTGGAGGCGGCGCGGACCCGCTGCAGCACCACCACGGCCTGCAGGACTCCATTCTCAACCCCATGTCAGCCAACCTCGTGGACCTGGGCTCCTAGAGCCCCGCCTGCCTCGACGCGCCGGCCTTCTGGGCTTGGCGCTGGGGACCTGAGAGACACCGAGTCGGGAGGGCTTCCGGGGCCGGCGGGCCCCACCAGGTACTGAAAGACCCGCAAGTGAGCGGCAGAACCGCCGGCCCGGCGTTGCAGACGGCCCTCTGGTTTGGTCTTTGTTGGAAATTTTTGTTTTTTCAACAAGTTGCTTTTGAGATCCTTTGGAGGCCTGGGACCAGGTTTTGAACCAGGGAAAGGAATAAATTATACAACGTTCTGATACTCTCTCCTTACCTTCTCTCTGCTCTTTCCTGTTCTCGCTTCCCTTCCCTCCCCTTCCTTGCTCTTCCTTTTTCTTTCTCTTCCTTCTCTGTTCTTTCTCTCCCTTTCTTGCATTCCCCTTCTTTACTGTCTCTGTTTCCCTCTATATTTCTGGCTTGCCGTCTCTCGCTAGGTTTCTGTTTCTCTCTCCCTCTCTGATTGTCTCTCCTCTCTGCCAGCCTCATGTATCCTGGCCCCGGGTCTGTGCCCCTCAGTCTTTTCCCTACTGCCTGACCTTCCGTTCCACCGCCCGTCCCTTGCTTTCCTGGGGTGGGGAGCGGGAGGAGGAAAAGCAATGGAGAAACAGAGCCCTTGAACCCAGGCCATCTCCAGAGGCCCTCCTCCGGGGTCATTGGGGCTACAGGTGTCAGCTCTGCCCTAGTAACAAGTGAAAGAGAAAGGGTGGCGGCGAGAAGCCCCTGCAGGCCCCTTTCGCTGGCTGCTCCTTCTCCGTGAGGCCCCGCTGTCGTGCTGTTTGCTCTCCTCTTCCTCCGGGACTGTGGCCACAGCGCTCCCGGTAGAGCATGTCTCCGGAGCCACGGACTTGCCGTCTCCCTGTTGTGCCCTCATGTGAATGTTCTTCGGGAAATATTTCTGCTTTTATTTTATAATAAAATTAGAAATGATAAATATATATGGATATATACCACGAGGCCTGTGAGCCATGAGTGCAACAGTGTCTGATTTCCCTACAGGGACTCGACACTCCCGTGGACCGTTCTGGGCAGCGAGCCCCATGAGTCCCAAAACTCAGAGACACCTTTGCACATACATAACACGTATTAAGTCGAAACCGCGGAAACCTGCTCCAAAGTCCTCTGTTCCTTTTCTCATCCAGGAGGCTCCAGGCGGGAGTGGGGGGGGGCAGCCTGCTCTTCTTGGGGGCTCCTCTTCCCCCACCAGCCAACAGTGCCCTCACTACCTCTTTCTTCACCTCGGGGACTCCGGTAGGAAATGGGAGGCTGTGTGCAGAGCATGGGTAGCTGTGTTGGGAGATACCAAGGCTGGGGAACAAATCAGCTGTGGAGGTTTCCTGAAGGGTGTACTCCTTAGTGATGATCGAAGTCCCCAGAACCAGACGGAACCCACTGAACAGATTCGCTGGCCCCAAGGGCAGCTGCTCTTCCAGCCGGGAAGCCCCAGCCTTGTGTGTGTGTGGCAGTAGAGCAAAAGTCTCCAAGTTCAGAAATCTGCCGTTTTGGAGTGGAGATGAAGGCGGGGTGGGGGGATAGAAGTCAGAGAAGACTCTGGGAGGTTGGTCTCCCGGGCGTGTGTTCTAAATGGAAGCAAGAGGGCACCGGGTCTTGGCTGGCCAGCCTAGAGGGCACCTCCAAGTGTTGTGTGCCCTAGGTGCCTCTGTGACTAAAAACCTGCAGCAGTCCCTCCCCTCTGGGGTTCGAGCCCCTGCCACTCATTAAGCAACACTGGGTGGGGGTGCATGGGGGTGTGTGTGCAGGGCTCCTAGAGGAGGAAATAGATACTCTTTAGTTTACAGTTGCTGTAAGTACCAGACAGGTCCCACCTAAGTGACCAGGATGTTTAGGGCCAAACCTGCCTGCCGAATGGGAAGGGAAGGGCGACATGAGGCACTCTTCCTGCAGGGTGATCCTCGAGTCCGGGAACTTCTTCGGACTTTCCTTTCTGGTGAAATCAGTGCTCACCAAAAATGGTTTCTCGGGCACTTTCTAAGTATCAAGTATTCTTTTGCAGTCAATACCCTAGCAGACGTGGTCACTGGGTGGACTACCTTGGTGAAGAGGCTATGCCTCTGCCTTCACTCTGTGCAGACCTGGAGGTCAAGAGAATGAATCCCCAGGGAATTTCAGACTGCGCCCCCCTGGGGCTGCATCAAGTACTCCCAAGCCTTGGCACTCCAAAAGGAATTCCAGCCCTGGCAATTCCCTTGTCCTCTCTTGGAGGCTCTGCTGTCAGGGGACACTCATCCTCTGGGGATCTGATTCATACTTATAGGGCCAGAGTGGCCCGACCTCTGCTGACTGTTGGGGTGAAGAGCCAGCTACTGCCTGAGGGCACAGAGATGCTCACAGGATGCAGGAAGCCTAGCTGGCAGACTCCAGCTTACTTCTGGAAAGGGGGGGAGCACAATAGCCCATGGAGCCCGCATCAGTCCTACCTGCCCCCTATTTTCCAGATACACAGGCAAACAGGCTGTGTACCAACTTCCACAAGGGCACAAGCATACACATTTATAATTTGATTCACTGGGATTGAGAGCTTGTTATGTATCAGGAACTGTGGATGGCACCAAAAACACTCACCCCCTCACACGCAGTAGCCACACAGGGACACACAGACTGTCACACATACACAGAGAGAAGCAAACACACACAGACCCACAACCCATTTTTACAAACACTAACGTTCTCAGGCAAAACATTATCACCTGATATCGGGAGATACACACACAAATGAGCCCCTCCCAAGTACATGTGCTCACACACACAATCACAAAGATACATCATGCTTGTCCCCAGAAGCACACAATCCATGCACTGGTGCCCCTGCCTGCAGCCAGCCCAGCCCACCCACTTGCTGGGGCCAGGGCCCGCCTTGCAGCAAAGCTTTTGGGCAGGGCTCAGTACCAGGTTTTGAGCCCCAGAGATAGAGATGGTTCTAGCCCCAGGCAGCAAGGTCAGGGATCCCATCTGGTCTCCGGCACCCTATCTCTGGAGTTTGCCCAAAGCTCTCACTGACCAGTAGGGGGCGAGGTGCCTGTCCTCCAGCTTTATTCAGTAAAGCCAACTCTGGCATATAGACCCCGATACTTGCTGCAACTTCCCTCCAGCATTCCCCTTGGAAAGCTAACCCCGAAAACAGGTATTTAAATGGGGAAACTATGCAGACGTTCTAAAAATAAAGCGAAGTAGCTACTCGCCTACTGTATAAATCTCTTCAAGCCAGACCTTCAGGAGGTAACTTTGCACAGATGTAGCCAGGTGAATACAACCACTCCCCGTCGCAGTCCACTAAACAGTGGCTTGTCACCCCCTCCCTTTTGCCCAGCGCTCCAGTGGCAGCACGGAAATCAGGCGTTTTACTCCGGAGACCCGAAGGGACGCACCAGCTGGAAGCGTGAGTTTTCTTTCTCTGCTCCTGTGACCGCGTTCGCCTTTTTTGTTCCCAGGTCCTATGCCCACACAACCCTCGAAGGTGAAACCGAATGGAGAAGGCAGAACCCAGCCTTCGCGGGCAGCTGGCCAGCTCATCTGCTTGGGGAGTAAAAGCCAAGGGCTCCTGAGAGCAGAGGGAAGGTGGGGGCTCTCCCTGCTTCCTCGGAAGTGTCCTCCCCTCCCTGCCCCTCCCAGCCGCTACACGCTCCGCAAGGCGGCCGTCACCAGGACTCAGGTCAGGCCGGGACCGGTTTCTCTGCCCTGAAGCGCGTCTCCTGGGGTCCACCTGGGGGACAGGTAGTGATGGCATGCCACGCATGCAAAGGTTAAACAGAGCCAGGGAGATCTGAGGAGAGACACCGGGCTCCTCAGTCCTTGTAGGAAACACCATCTGGGCTCCTGAGAAGAGCATGGACCCGCTGAGTTGGAGCGCCAGAGTCTGGACGCTGGGAATTCAGCCTCCATGACCTCCCCAACGCTCACGTCTTGCCAGCAAACCGCCGGGCCCCGGAAAGGAAAAATATAAATGTTTCCGTGTTGAATGGCAGGTGAGAAGGATCGAGAGGAACTTGGGTTAGAGACGACTTGGACCCCTTTCTTTTTTGTGTGTGGTCCCCATCCCAATGCTATGGCTTCGGTCCCCTGAACGTTCAAAGCTGCTTAGGGACGCTGGAATGGGACTCAAACCAGTGCGAACCAGAGAGTGAGGATGTACCGGGATATAGCATGGGAGAGAGTGTGCGGGCAACAGGGTGATAAATCGCCACGGTGTGCATAGATGGGAAAGTCCCCGCCTTAGGACTCTGCAGGTGAGCGGGTGAGGCAGTGCCCTCCCAGGGCATTCTGGGCAGCTGGAAAAGTCAGGCCAGTCCTGAGCGCTGCAGCTCGAAAGCAGAGGCGCCTGGGGCTGCAGGAGAACCAGCCGTTCCTCTCGCGCAGCCAGAGCACAACCCAGCGTGAGCTGATTTTGATTCCTGGATCCTCTGCTGACCGCGGGCGGGTGAGAGAGAAGAGAAGGAGGACCTCTGGGTTGCGGCTGCGGGGTCAAAGCAGTGGAGTGGAGCCTGGGCTGGAAAGACCCGGAGTCCTGGTGTCAGGGTTAAGGCCTCGAGGGCTGCTTCGCCGCCGGGGCGAATCTCTTTCTGGAACTCCGCGGGTCCCTATGCGGCTGGAACTCGGAATGGTCTTCTAGGTTTGCGGGGTGGAATTAGAGGGGAGAGAATGAGATTGGGTGCCCTCCAACGGGGTGAGTTTTCCACTCTGTTTCCCTACAGTCTCAACAGCAGGGCTTGCTCCCCCTCCAGGTAGAGCCAGTCGCCCGAAATCCAGAGTCTCAGTAACGCCGTGTGAATGTGCCCAAAGGCGCCTGGCAACGTCCGACAGGTGTCCCTGGTTGCCCCAAAGACTCCCTTTCTTGGACGGACCCACAGACCCGAGGCTGGCGCAGGGTGGGCATGTAGGGACAGGCCTTCTTTAGGACGTCAGCCGCTCTAGCCCTGCCAGGGCTGAATCGAGAAATACCAGCCCTCCTGGAGTGCCAGGCGCACCCTCGCT